GGTTGTATATATGTGGGTATATACATATTTATCTACATTAGGGTGGTCCTTAAAAATCAAATGAACGATTTTATTCAGTCTCACTCCCTCAATCGATAATACCATGTTCATAGATATCAAATATAAATTTTGGTCCCAATTGGAGACCGTTAAGGCGTGTCGCACTGGGTTCAGATTCCTCTATAGAAATTCAGAAATACATAAAATGGATCTTCCACAGTCGAAGATATCACATATAAAATTTTGGTCACGATTGGAATGGGTTAAGACGTCTTCATAGGGTAACCTGAACTTTGACCCCTTTGAGACACGCATTAACCGACTTCAATCGGGGCCAAAATTTGTATGTGTTATCTTCTCCTATAGTAGTATCGATTTTGGGAATTAGATGAAAAAAAAAATGTATTTAATTTTTTTTAGTTTCTATCCGATCTAACGGTCTCCAATTGGGTCCCAAATTTATATGTGATATCTATTACCGTGGTATTACCGATTGAGGGGGTGAGACTGAAAAAATCGTACATTTGGTTTTTAAAGACCACCCTAATCTACATACATACATGAACATCTACTTAAGAGTAACTATTGCTAACAAGCCTTACAATCTGTTTGCAAAACCCTACAAATGCAATATCATATGCCGCAATCATACCACCCCCCAAACTGTGCGCACAGCGTTAAAACGTATGGTGGCTTAATTGTCATTTAAAATACATAAATACATGCATACATGCCGTTATACAATACAAATTGCATTGTCAACTCGGCTCATGTTCGTTAATTTGTTGACAAATCGTTATATTAATGGATCTATCAAATAACACAATAACAACAACAAGAGCATTGAGGACTTCTAAGCAGAGTGGTGTGGTGGAACGCATTCTCGCACTGTTATGTCTATGATGAACGTTGATTTGTTTTCCAAATCCATTTGTGGGATTTTCTTCAAATAACAACAGCATACATACATATATCAATCAGCAACAATAAGAAAAATAACAAAAATGCTTAAAGCAAAATTTCGGAAGGTTTGCATAAATTTTTACGGTTTAAAAATAAATACATCTCACTTAGGGGTTGTTGAACGCACAAAAACCGCATCGCAACACGCCACTTCCCACCTCACTCAAGCACTACTTACACACTTGCATACATACATATGTACGTACAGATGTTTGTACTGCGGCAACGATAAGCTATCCCCGCGGGTATAATTTTTGTTACGCCCGTACCAAGCTAATATGGTTGCTATTACTGTTGTTGGTTTTTATTTTTCTTTTTCGCTTACTTGGCAACTACGAATATTCCTCGCAGCTTGATTTCAACTATACTCTATTAGCATGCTCCCGTGCGTGTGTGTGTGTGTATTCCTGTCTATTTGATTGTTCGTGTATGTATGTAGGTGTATGTGAGCATATCCTGCGCATCCTTAAACGCTTCCGAAACCATGTCCAACAGCCGGCAAACGACTTTATTTACATTGCAAATCAAAATGCGATCTCTGTGAGTTACGCCGAGTCAAACAACCACACCACATTACATATTGAAATTAAGTGAAATGATAATTTGTGATTTTGATGTCCGCTTACTTCCTTTTTACGAGAATTTGTATGAATATCCTGCATTGCGTTCACAAAGCTACGTGTGTGCGTATGGACGGTTGGCGTTTATCGACTCCTTTGTGATATGGATTTCTCTTGCCATTGTTATTGTTATGCTTATTATTGTTTTTGTGGTCGGAAGCCTCTCAATTAAAGCGAACAACTAAGTAAACAGAGTGATTTTCTCAAATGACTGCACTCAATTGGTTTCGCGCGGAATTTAGTCAGCAATCCAACGTTGGAAATTATTTCGTTCACAAACATGTGCAGTTACATACATACAGATGTATATGTATGTATTATGAGCCTTGTATATTTAAATACAACTTATGAACAATGAAGGATTTAAGTACAAGCACCCATATGCACACTTCGATCCATACACAAGTACATATATACATATACGTATATGTAGGTAAATCAGAAGTACAAATCCCATCAAAAATATCAGACATGCTCCTAATATCGTATTCCTGCTTCTCATTAAGGCTTGAAATTTGCAAAAAAGGTGCTCGACTGTTTCCTGTTCATTTTCATGCCTGCAGTTTCTACAGAAGTCGTTATAGGCGATTGCCAGTAAGAATCGCTGGGTCTGGGTATACGATTTCTGAAGATTGTTGAGAAAGATTTATCCTTATATGGTTCCAATTAGGGGTGAGACCGAGTTTCGATCCAGGCCTACGTGGAACCCTCTCTGGCTAACTCTTACGCAGCCAATGCGATTACTAAATCTATATCTATCTGACTTTTTACTGAGCCTTACGCTCTTTGATCAGTTTCGACCTTGTTGTAAAAGATGCCAACGTCTGAAAAACCCTTGCGAAATGGGCCAAATGGATTGATCTTCCTAACCCCAGGGATTCAGAGAAAACGCCTGCTGATGTATCCAGGCAGAGATATTAAGTTCCCATCTTAGTCGGCTCTCGACGGGCCTGAAAGGCCTGTGAAATTATACTTCAGGTCGCATGCAATCGATACCCAGTCTTCTCTTCCCGATCGTTATTTCTTTTCATACACCCAGTAGTGATGTGGTATGCATTATGTGAAGGTCCACAGAAAATCGGTTTGTATGGAATAGTACCGAGGGCGTCCGTAGGGCATGGTCTCCATCGCCTCTGTAGTCGCGATGCATACGTTTTTTTTTTTTAATTTTGCTTTCCTTCAACGCCAACCTCTGTTGCATATTTTTCTTAAATGCTTTGTTTATGAGGATGGTGCAGAGGCCGACGATGTAGTTTGCGTGTGCATACGCACACGGGGCCGTTTTAGCGTCGCACAAAAAGTTATACTGCCTAAAGCCTCATTGGGTCTCGAACGGTCCGAGGATGTTATTCCCAATTTGCACGAATTTCTGGACAAGCTTATAGGTAATATGGATGTATGTATGTACTTATGTACTCAGCCAGTGGCTCGCTTGAGTTAAACTAATGCCTTCCAAGCCTAAGCTAATACCAATAATTTTCCAATTCAACATTCGTTTTCGTCTGGGTTTCTATCGTCAATATCCCATAACTTGCTGACATATGAATGACGAAATTCCATTAGCCATTGAAAATAAAAAAACTGAAAGGAAAATATGTACCATTTAAAATTTTTCTTACGAAAAAGACCAAGGGCCGTTTTCTCAAGTAGCATAATTTTTCTGCCCTTCAAACACAAATTTCGTTCTGAGAATATGTGTTTGAAGGGCAGATAAATTTTATTATTTTTTAACAGATATAAATAATTTAATTTTCAACTAAGCCATTTAAATTTCCAGTGAAAATCTTGCGTAAGGAATAAAAGCACTAAAAGCATTTATGTTTTTGCATAACCCGTATGAAAATTGTCTAAGGTTTTTTAAACCTTAAAAACCAATATGACCACTGAAAGTTCTACCAGGCCTGTCTCGGTTCTTGATTTCGTCTAAATCGCTGGAATCTGGAATTCGCGCCCGAAAACGTGAAAACATAGCACAATTTTAGCTAGAAATAAACTTGCGAACATTTATGAAAACTAAAAAAGTACAAGATGGAGTTACGCCGATCTTAGAAAATTCACTATCTTCAGTTTTGTGTAAAGATTAAGATTCCATCGCGAAAACTTAAAAAATATATATAGATACCTACTACAAAAAGTAAAATAACCACTCATGCTCATATAGCCGTAGTTGCGTATGTAACGTATACGACCCATAGCACCATACGCAGTCATCTTTCATCTTTACTCGCACACCTTCACTTAAAAATCATATTATTTAAAAGTAATTAAATATTGGCGTGGGATATTTTTACACAGAATTCCTTATGCAGATATACATACACCCCGCGACAAAAGATAGCACATCAAGATTTTTACCAGTTTTGACTACTTTTATTTACCTTTTTTTAAAGTTCATTATATTTATGTAAAAGTATAGCTCTTTATGCAACAAATCTAAACTTCAGCCTTTCTACAAAAATTATGAAAATAATATTTGCTCCCCAGAGATCTCTCTCATAAATAATTTCAAAAATGAGATATTGTAATATTCGCCAGAGCGTGCCAAACTAGACTGAGAAAAGAGTTTAAATATTTATGTTTCTCTCATCACATAACTTGGTGACAGTTATATTATTTGGTTATTGTACTGAGAGAAATATATTTAGCTGACTCTTCTCTAAGTGAAGTGGACATAAGAGGACGATACTTGTATTCGCTCCTTGAGGAAGCTGAATTTGAGGTCATAGAACCCTAATCCTAATAAACTAGATGCATCCAGAAAAAAGGCAGCTAAATATATTTCGCTCAACACATGATTTGCTAACTACATATAACAAAGTAATGTAACTATAACCAAATCATGTGTTGAGATAAATATATGCAGCTGACTTTTGTCTGCTAAACAAAAAAGCAAAGACAAGGAGTCGTCAACTTGTATGAAATTTTTCAAAAGTCCTTATCGCCTCGAAGAGGAAACGCCTACGCTCTTCACAGTTGCTGTAGAATTTACGACCTAGATATGCATACAATTTTACAGGCTCTAACAAATACAGAGCTTTCAACGAAGCGAAGCTGTGCATAAGTTCATATATATATACACGATTAAGAGAAATAGAGGTTGCGCCAATCACGGTACCGCTATTCCTCTCTCAGTGAATTTAACAGAATCGTTGTTTGTATGACGTCACACTTGTGCAACTTGTTTACGTTTTCCTTTCAACATTTTTTCTTCTTCTTCCATTCTTGCTCACGTTTTGGCATTTCTCTCTCGCAATTGCACCAGTGTGACGTCACACAAAAGTTATTCTCAAAAATCCTCTCTCCTCCTCGCCTATCAGCGCAATCTTGTATTCTATCATTCTTGATATATATATATTTATGTACATATGTATATAAATAAATAAAAATGTATAATGTAGAAATACATAGAAAACTCACCTCCACACGCTCCTCCTTCAGATCGACCTTCAGTGCTAACTGCTCGCGCAACACCACATCGGGATAATGTGTCTTATCGAAAGTCGCCTCCAGCTGCTCCAATTGTTCCTCGGTGAAAATTGTGCGATGACGACGCTTTCGTTTCGGCGGTGGACCATGTCCCAAATGATGCGCCACATGATGATGCGGGTGATGAGGATGATGCAGATGATGCGCATGGTGGGGATGTGTGTGTGCGGCCAAGGCGGCCGCCGCAGCACCATGACCGCTGACATGCGCCTGCATTTGCGCTGCAGCCACATGAGCCACCGCGGCGGCATGCATGTAATTTGGATAGAAGTTCGGGTACGCAACTGTGAAAGAGTTGAGAGAAAAAACGCGCAAGGCTCGAGTAAGTTAGGGGTAGAAAAGGGCAAATTAAAATGTTGTAAATGAAAAAAGTTATTTTTTTTTTGTGCTTCATTCGTGTAACGCGATATTTTTCGGTAAGAGGAGTAGTATCAAGTAAAAACTCTCCGAAAAGCAGCGGCATAAATGCATTCATGTTTGCAATGTTTTGGTTTTTTTTTCAGAGCTTTTTATGATTTCATTTACGCATATACACACATATGTACATACCAAATATTTTTTGTTGATTTTACAGAGCTCAAAAAGTAAAAAATAATTTTTGGCGTTTGAATATTTTAGCGCTGATTTAAATTTTCAAACATTTTAAGCATATTTTACATGTTCGTATGTTTATGTTAAGTAAAACCTCACTCGTTTTCGTTTTGCTTGAGTGAGTATAAATCTATGACAGGATAATTTTAAAAGCTGCCTCTAGCTTTGACACAATATGAAAAGTAACTTACGAGCCTTTGCGCTTAAAAATATATATGAATGCCATAAATATACATACAATATTTTCCTGTCGTATTAAGCAAATCAACATCTGTAAATCTCCTAACCTTTAGAAACACCTACCCCGTCCTAACCCATAATAAGCCATAAAAAATCATCTTTTGCGCTTCATTGCGTATTTATGCGTAATTCACTCATTCCTTAAATCCTTTTAACGATTCGAATGCTAAGTAAAAAATATGTTAAAAAAAAAAACGATAGATACGCAAATGCGACGGCGGGTGGTGCGCTGTGGAAAAAATAACTGTAAAACATAGACAATGTAAAAGCATACTCGTACATACTATGTACTTGTAAGCTCAAAATACCTTCAAGCGGCTGTTGAGGCCAATGAAGCC